CTAAATACACACCACTCATCAAACGTGTGAAACCCACAGTGAGGACAGTTAAAGTGTGGCCAGAGGGAGCAGACTCTGCACTACAGCTTCGGTTCGAACACACAGACTGGAGTGTGTTTGCCACTTAGTCCACACTGGACTCCCACACTTACATTGATTCCTATGCCTCTTTCGTTCTGGACTTCATCAACACCAACATCGACAGAATCACCACCTTCCCCAACCACAAGCCATGGATGAACAAAGAGGTCCGTCTACTGCTGAAGGCACGAGACACCGCTTTCAGATCAGGTGATGCTCAAGCCTACAGTTCATCCAGGGCTGACCTGAAGAGGACATCAAGCAGGCCAAGCACTGCCACAAGCTAAGGATTGAGGAGCACTTCAAGAACAACTCCGACCCCCGTCGCATGTGGCAAGGCATCCAGGCCATAACAGACTACAAACCCACCAACACCACCCCCCAAAACAATGATGCCTCCTTCCCTGACGAGCTTAACAGCTTTTATGCACGCTTCGACAGGGACAACCAGGAGGCTGCCATCAAGGCTGCGCTCACTTCAGACCACCAGCCCCTCACACTCTCCTCCACCGACGTGTATGCTGCACTGAGCAGGATTAATTCACATAAGGCTGCTGGCCCTGATGGCGTCCCCGGACGCGTGCTCAGGGCCTGTGCTGGGCAACTAGCTGAGGTCTTGACTGACATATTCAACCTGTCACTAGCCCAAGCTACTGTCCCCACGTGCTTTAAAACCACCTCTATTGTGCCAGTGCCAAAGCACTCCACCGCAGTGAGCCTAAATGACTTCCGCCCAGTTGCACTCACTCCAACCATCATGAAGTGCTTCGAGAGGCTGGTCCTGGCTCACCTCAAAACCTGCTTACCACCCACACTGGACCCCTTCCAATTCGCCTATCGCAAGAACAGGAGTACGGAGGATACCATCTCCACGGCATTACACCCCGCCCTTTCTTACCTGGACAATAACAACAGCTATGTGAGGATGCTGTTTCATAGACTTCAGTTCAGCTTTCAACACTGTCATCCCCTCCAAACTAATCACGAAACTCAGTCACCTGGGTATCAACACTTCCCTCTGTAACTGGATACTGGACTTCCTATCCAACAGACCCCAGTCTTTTATGGTAGAGAACCACACCTCCTCAACCCTCATCCTGAACACCGGCGTGCCACAGGGCTGTGTGCTAAGTCCTCTCCTCTACTCCCTCTTCACCTACGACTGCACACCTGTACATGGTTCTAATACCATTGTCAAGTTTGCAGACGACAAGAGATGTCTGCGGAGGGCACGCAGCATCGAAAAGGACAGCTCTCACCCCAGCCACAGACTGTTTGCCCTCCTCCCCTCTGGGAGGCGCTACAGGGTGCTCCGTTCCCAGACCAGCAGGTTCAGGAACAGCTTCATCCCTGCAGCTGTCACTCTACTGAACTCTGCCCCCTACCCCCACACACATCTCCCTCAGTGACTGTACTTCCCCCTCCACCCTGGCTTGACTGCCACACCCTCCTCCAGCCACTGAACATTTGCACTGTTATTGTATATCCATTTCTTACTGTTCATATTGCATAACTATTTCTTACTGTACATATCTATTTATTCACTTATTACACTTTACATATGCACATACGCTGCACTTTTTGCTACTTTGCACTTCTGGTTGGATGTTAAACTGCATTTCGTTGCCTCAGTACTTGTACCCTGTGCAATGACAATAAAGTTGAATCTAATCTAATCTAATAAGAGAGGGGGACGAATGGCTGACCGGGTTCAACACACCCATGGGCCACTTCGAGTATCTGGTCATGCCATTCGGCCTCACCAACGCGCCCGCAGTATTCCAGAGTATGGTAAATGATGTGCTTAGTGACATAGCCCATGACACAGGCGCTCAGGGTTTTGTCGCTGCCTGTCCAGTTTGTGCACAGAAGGAACCCAATGATCGCAGTGCCGTTTCCACTGCACCCCTCTATGGTTGAGGGAAACAAGATCTAGCTTCTCAAGCTGCCAAAAGTCCCTCAAGGTACACCCCACCTTTCACGTGTCCTGCATTAAGCCAGTCCTCCTCAGTCCCCTGTTACGCCTTCCCTCCATCACCAAGAAGGCTCAGCAGAGGTTGTTCTTCCTGAGGCTGACGAAATTCAACCTGCCAAAGACGATGATGGTCCACTTCTACACGGCCATCATGGAGTCCATCCTCTGCTCCTCCATCACCGTCTGGTACGCTGCAGCCGCAGCCAAGGACAAGAGCAGGCTGCAGCGTGTCATCCGCTCTGCAGAGAGGGTGATCGGCTGCAATCTGCCGTCCCTGCAGGACTTGTTCGTTTCAAGGACCCTGATGCAGCTAAAAAGATCGTAGCCGACCCCTCTCACCCCGAACAAAAGCTGTTTGTGCCCCTTCCATCTGGCAGGAGGCTGAGGTCCATCAGGACTAAGACCTCCCGCCACACGAACATCATCAACAGAGCCCGGTCCCCCACTGACTCTGACATTCCACCGCTCACTTCCTTTCATTCTGCACACGTCACTTTCTGTTAGCTGGTGTTTTTTTTATAGTTTTAACTAACTTTTATTCCTTCATTTTTAAACTAACCCATAGCCGTATACTACTAACCCATAGCATTATATTTTATTTTATTCCTTGTGCACTGTTATCTTGTCATCCATTGTCGTATTGTCTGCACAAACACTCACGCTAGTAAAATCAACATGTACTATTTTGACAAACTTTAAGGATTCAAGTCAGCTCTGCTTCAGAAGAGAAGGCAGAACAGAGTTAGATCGGGTCAAACCTAGCAAAGATAGGAGGGCACGCTAGCAGTCAACTTAATAGCAGAGTCTACAGCAAGAACTGGCACTAATAAATGGCAAGAGTTAAAGCAAACTAGCAATCAAGTTAAACTCAAAACAGTAGAATCACAAACAAATTTAGCAGACTAGCTCGGTTTAAAGAAAAGATACTTCGTCCGATTTCAGGTCGCCCCGATGTCTGAAGTCCTAGTAGTCAAGATGAAATTGATTTCTTTAGGTAATGTAGTTTATTATCTGAAGAAATTCCCTTTTTGTCAACAAGTGATATGAACAAAGCCTTCCATTCAATGAACAGCACTGGGTCTCTACTGAACACTGGGAGTCTGTTTATGGTTGTGCTAAGGTAACAACCTGAGGGTGTTGATGTATGTAGAATGGTTGAAAGGAATGATGGCGTTCCTTTGTTCTGCTGAATGGACTACAAAAGGTTAAATCAGGAAATGCATAACACATCTAAGAAACAAGAAAAAACATGTATCAAGTGCAAAACATTCATGGATAAACACAATGTGGGTTAGTTACAATGAGTTTTAAAAAATCCTGTACACCTCTGCCGAAATAATCAACGTGACAGTTTTTTTCAATTGCTAACAAGCATTGTTCATTACTCAAACCACATTTTCAAAACTCAGACATTCATAGATACACAAGTGTATACGGACCAAACTGTGAATAATTTTTCATTGCTTGCAGACAAAATACATTCAATCACCAAATTTTTCAAAATCCACACTTTTGTCATTCATACTCCAAAAACTGCAAAAAACGGTATATTTGCAGATTAACACACTGCTTTCAAAACTGATAAAAGTTTCTGCAGTAATTATTTTGAAATATAGAAAATCTAAGATTTGGGACGTGAAAAGGCAAAACGAGCAAAGTGAATAAATCGCTCTTTTGCCCAAAGTTGAAATATTTCAACTTTGAAAAAGACGCCCGACGCTGTCTATCGAAAGCCAATCAGCGTTGAGATGATCCGCTCGTCATCACCGCCGTCCTGCTGCCACAGCGTGAATACACGTTATTAAACGGCCGCTGACCAGAGACGCACACAGAGACTGAACGCCTGTAAGTTAGTTTGTGTGTAACCGAGAGACAAACCGAAACGACACAACAGGTCATCAGACCGGCTGCTGCTCCGCCTGAAGCAGCGCTGGAAGCCGCAGTCATCATCATAATTTGATAAAGACAATAATTGCGCCACCCTGTGGTGTGTCAACGCAATTGTGCAGTATTAATTATGCAGACTACAGACCATAAATCCTTCCTGTCATTATCATAATTTGATAAACTCGGGACAGCAGAAGCCTGTACTACTTACGTAACATTATTTCAGCAGAGGTGTACAGGATTTTTTTTAAACTCAAAACTAACCCACATTGTGTTTATCCATGAATGTTTTGGAGGAGAGAGCCGCTGGGGTGGATGTGTTCTCAGGTGTGATCCAGGTCTCAGTGAGAGCGAGGACGCCGGAGATGAAGTCTGCCCTGCGAGTAGCTGACCGGCAGTAGTATCTGCGGGAAGAGGTTCGGACAGGTAAAAGGGTCAAACACATTATTAAAAATATCAGAAGTCGCCGCATTCAGCCGCCCCGAGGACTCCACGAAAGACTCCCTAGTCTTTGTCCTGCACCTATAAAGATTTATGACTTCATCACATTTATATTTTATGTTTGAGGACTGATGAAATGCCTAAGCCTATAATTGAAGATATATTACATTACAGGTCATTTAGCTGACGCTTTTATCCAAAGCGACTTACATTACATTTTTAACCCATGGCTCTTACATTTTGCCCGGGGAGCAATTAGGGGTTAGGTGTCTTGCTCAGGGACACTTCAACATGGGACATGGGGCAGCCGGGACTCGAACCACCAACCTTGTGGTTCCCAGCACACCCTCTCGACCGCATATTCATTTTTAAAGAGATTTCGTGGTCCCAACTTGTAAAATGTGTCTTCAGCTCTGTTTTTAAAGAAAGTTTAGGGAACATCTCTGAATTTCTGACAGACACAACATTTGAAGGTTTCATGTTGACTTTAATCAGTGAGCTGCAGAGTTCATGTTCATGTCTTTTGATATATTTCTGTAATGGGCAATAAGGAATAAAAATAAGTGTTTGTATATAAGTGAGGAAAAATAATGAAAGTGGACACAAGCAACAAATATGCAGGAGAAAATAGGCTTTTATTGATCCATTAAGTGTTTCATAAATTACACGTTCCAGTACTAAAAGAGCCTTTGACATGTAATGATAACCTTTGACATGACAATGACTGGATAGGGTGGCACCTATTGATTAAATCATGCCGTCTTACTGAATGGGTCAAACATGTAGAGACTCAAAGAGAGTGATCAACTATTAAAGGGAGCAAAACCACCTCAATGGGACTCAAAATGGCAAAAAAGAACAAAATCCCCTTAAAAAGACACAGAAGTAACCCAAACTCTTCTCAGATTCAGTATTTCTACCATTGAAGCTGCAGACAGGTATAGAGGTGTTAACATATGAAGCTGAAACAGAAGAAACACCAGCAGTCCACTGGTGGCAAAGCTTTACATCGTCGAATGAAGGTCGTACCGAATTTGGAATTCCGCCTGTTGACTTAACTTTCAAACGTGGACAAAGGTTGGTATCTGACCCTTGACCCTCTGGCCTTGTACAAGGCCACTGCACTGATCATGCCAACGGCTGCAAGGAGACATCCGGCGATGAAGACCAGGTTCAGATTCAGCTGGAGCGCTGGAGGAAGGAAGCACAGTTCTTGATTACATCTGGTCCAAAGTGGGGCAGGAACAAATGAAAAAATCGCTCTCTGCTTTCCCACCTGGGCTTTTGTTGTCCTCCGCTGATCTCCCCAGGCGCAAGGGACCCTGGGAAACAAAGTGCCTTTGACCTTGAGCGATGAGCTCTCTCTTCCTGTGGTGGTGAGCAGCAGGCCAACCGCTCTGCTTTGTGGAGTTGACGCATCCCTGAGAGCACCTGGTTTTGGGGCTTCCTGCTTCACACATCAGGACCGTGCAGCTGATGTACACCTGAATGCATCGGGACACGTCGTCATGACATCAGCAGACAGTAAAAAAGCCTCCTCGTCTCCACTGTGCCTCTACGTGACAGACGGTGGCGTTCCACCTCGAGTCCCTCCAAACATCGTATATCTTTCTCTTCATCATTAGACCTCAAGTGTGCAATGTCAGCTTGTGACAACCAATCAAATTCATTGTTAACACTTTGAAAATTTGAATTTTCTATGAAGGTGAGCAGGGAAACATGGAAAATCTTTCAAAACATAGATTTGTTTGTGACACCCTGGGGCTTCAGTAGAAAACAAGTCAATGCAGATGAAACATTGTGTATGTCCAACAAGTGTGAATGGGTCATCAGGACATTATGAATTAGTTGAATCTTTTAGAGATTCATAGCAGTGCACCGCTGCGTCCTCTACCTGATCGTGCGAGCCGATGAACTTGAAGGCCTCCATGCTGAACTGGAATTGTCTCTGGTGGGAGGTGGAGTGGATTTCAACAGTCTGATCCACGTTACACCTGGTCAGAGCAGGACACAAGAAAAGCACAAGACGCAGAACATTTGTCAGTCGGCGCCTTTCAGCGGACGCTGCCGTAGGGACAAGAGGCCAAGAGAGTGTTGACATCAACATTTGTTGATGTCAACACTCTCTTGGCCTACAGCCACAAACCTACAGTGCCTACATCAGGGGCCATTTCTCCACTACGGTGAAATCTAGGGTTGCCACCCGTCCCTTAAAATACGGAATCGTCCCGTATTTTCCGAGCTGTCGTCAAGCGTCCCTTATTTTTCTGTACTAAAGGTGGCAACCCCTAGTGAAATCATATAGAGCCTCTAAAGCAAGAGGAGACAATCCTCCACACCAGGGGTGCCCACACTTTTTTGGCCTACAAGCTACTTGTTAGCTCACCAAGTCATGGCGAACTACCCCCCCAGCGAATGAGTAGTAGCGGGAACGGAACAGTAACAGTAAGCAAGGATGCTAATTAGCACTGAGTTTTCCGTTAGCTCCCGCGGACGACCGCGCATGCGTATTGACCCGACTGGATTTTTTAGTCAATGGCAGGTGATCGACCTATTGGGCAGCCCCGATCTCCACAGTGAAGCACAACATAGAGAGACGTTTCAATTCCATCTATGAAGCCACTCTCACATGACAGAAAACAATCAGTACTGAGTACTCGTGCCCACCCGTTCTCGATGATGGAGTAGGTTTGTTGGTAGTTCTGGTTGTCATATGGCGTAGCTCTGCAGGACTCCACGAACAGCACGGTGTTATTGATGGAGGAGGTGGCCTCAATCTGCATGAAGATCCTGCTCCCCAGAACATACACCAGCGGGTATGTGCTGGGATCGATGGCGGTGAGGTATTGGTCGTTGGGATAGAACTCAAACTGGTAGGTGAACGTGCCAAAGCCCTTGTCCCAAACTTCGATCTTGGGCCTGTGTGCCGTGAAGACCTGCGTCACATTCCCACGTTTGGGGTACTGGCAGTAGAAGTCCACCTCCAGCAGGTGCTTCCTGGTGATCACGTCGGCCACGTTGTCAAACGTGGTGATTGCGTTCTTGAACCTGAGGTTAATGTCGTCTTCCTGCAGAGTGAAAGAGGTAAGTGTCAGTTATCAGAAGATAAAAGGCAACAACAACAACTAGGAGAAGAGCGCAGCTCGCGTCACCTCGATGTCGGTCCCACAATCGTTGAGGGGGATGACGGCAAAGATATGGGTGGTGTTGGACTTCAGGCGGCAGGCGGTGTTGGTGGCGTCGTTGAGCCTCAGATGGTCCGCATGGTGTCCGGGGAGAGAAGCTTTCTCAAGCTCTATTGTCATTGTGGTCTCGGTGCAGATCACATTGCTTTTAACTAGAGAACGAGATTGTTAAAAATACACATCGTACCTGTAGTTTTCCTCTTGTTCACTAATTCAGTCATGTTCCAGCAAACACAAGGAAGAAGAAGACTTTTCATCTAAAATACTTAATAAACATTCCAAAATACATTTAATAAGGAAATACTTCTTAATTTAGTTTGGTCAGTTCACCCACTCACAGCTCTTTATAGAAGTTAAGTACACCATTACAACTGCAGCTGCACCTCCCCTCCAAACTAATCACAAAACTCAGTCACCTGGGTATCAACACTTCCCTCTGTAACTGGATACTGGACTTCCTAGACTACCCCAGTCTTTTATGGTAGAGAACCACACCTCCTCAACCCTCATCCTGAACACCGGCGTGCCACAGGGCTGTGTGCTAAGTCCTCTCCTCTACTCCCTCTTCACCTACGACTGCACACCTGTACACGGTTCTAATACCATTGTCAAGTTTGCAGACGACACAACGGTTATTGGCCTCATTAGTGACAACGATGAGTCGGCCTACAGAGAGGAGGTCCAGCACCTGGCGGTGTGGTGCGCCGACAACAACCTGGCTCTCAACACCAAGAAGACCAAAGAGCTAATTGTAGACTTCCGGAAGAAAACTGGCACACACATCACCATCCATATCAACGGGACGGAGGTTGAGCGTGTCGCCAGCTTCAAGTTCCTGGGTGTCCACATCTCTGAGGAACTCTCTTGGACTCTCAACACCTCATCCCTGGTAAAGAAAGCACACCAGCGTCTCTTCTTCCTGAGGAGACTGAAGAAGGCCCATCTGTCTCCTCAGATTCTAGAGGATTTCTACCGCTGTACCACAGAGAGCATCCTTACAAACTGCATCTCAGTATGGTACGGCAGCTGCTCTGTCGCAGACCGTAAATCATTGCAGAGGGTGGTGAAAACTGCCCAACACATCACCTGTTCCTCACTCCCCACCATCGAGGCTGTCCAGAGCAAGAGATGTCTGCGGAGAGCACGCAGCTCTCACCCCAGCCACAGACTGTTTGCCCTCCTCCCCTCTGGGAGGCGCTACAGACTGCTCCGTTCCCGGACCAGCAGGTTCAGGAACAGCTTCATCCCTGCGGCTGTCACTCTATTGAACTCTGCCCCCCCTGAACTCTGAACTCTGCCCCCCACCCCCACACACACCTCCCTCAGTGACTGTACTCCCCCCTCCACCCTGGCTTGACTGCCACACACCCTCCTCCAGCCACTGAACATTTGCACTGTTATTGTATATCCATTTCTTACTGTTCATATTGCACAACTATTTCTTACTGTACATATCTATTTATTCACTTATTACACTTCACATATGCACATACTCTGCACTTTTTGCTACTTTGCACTTCTGGTTGGATGTTAAACTGCATTTCGTTGCCTCAGTACTTGTAGCCTCAGTACTTGTACCCTGTGCAATGACAATAAAGTTGAATCTAATCTAATCTAAAGATGTTGACATTAAAGTAGACTCACCGGTGCTTCGTCTTGACCTCCACCACAACACACCTCATCTCGGTCTGATAGACTCCCGCCCTGAGGAGCATCGGTGAAGATTTAAGCAGCTATGTCCTAATGCAGGGGTCTCAAACTCGCGTCCCGCGGGCCAATTGCGGCCCTCGGGCGGATATTTTGTGGCCCCGTCCTTAATATGAAAGTGTAATGTTAGTGCGGCCCGCAAGTTTTATACTGTAACCCCACTGTCAGCTGCTGTGTGGGACATGTTATGATGTTCTGGTTTCCTACTGTGTGCTTGTCCAGTGAACGTGGCATGCATGTGACTGACATGGGGGGCGGGTCGTGTGTGTCGGCCGAGGTGCAGAGAGCAGGAGGGTGAAATTCAGTTTCCTGCCCTCTTTCGCGCAGGTGATCATGTGACTAACCGTTAGCATCGCTCGTTTAATAAAGTTTTCCTTTACGACTCACACTAACAACACATGAAGCATCTGACGTCACCGACGAGCGTCTCCGTCCATTACTACGCAGCTTCGATTCACGTAACTTCACGTTTGGCTATAAAGGAATTCCACGGTCACATGACCTTAGGTCTCCCCCGCTGAGTTAAAGGAGGACTAGTGTTGTAGTCTCATTCGGACCGATCCCCCAGGGTGGGGTTCAATGACTGCTTTTGAAAGTGAGTGTTAAGTTATGTTATTGTCGACCATGCCGTTCGGACGCTAGTCTGGCCCGCGTTCGGTTGAAGTGGGCTGCATCTGGCCCGCAGCTGATTTGAGTTTGAGACCCCTGTCCTAATGTCTTAAGTTAAAGTTACTACTGGTGTTTTTGTCTCGTCGTCTCTAAACTCTAATTTGTTGCTTGAGAAAGACGCCAAACACAGACAAATGTCACTTACTGTGAGGACGGGGTGGTGTAGTAATGCGGTGTGTTACCATGGGACCTGCAAAAATGTCAGAAGTCAAATCATGGCTCCCCACACACACACACACACACACACACACAGAAAGAAGTTCTCTCCCGAGGAACCCAAAACTCACCCGGCCACTGATTCAACAGCAAAGCAGATGGAGAAGAAATCCCCCAGGTCGTCTTGGATCGGCGTCCACCTAATGACAAAGTCTCCATCTGTGTTCCTTTGCGTGGTGATGTTCACTGAGCCACTTATGATTATATCATGTATTCTGTG